CACCCTACGCCCAAGAGGAACCAGCCTCCCCGCCAAACCCTCGTGGCTATGTACACGCCTGGGTCCAGCCCCACTCGCATGGAATGGGCCCTAAGGAATGGGCCCCCCTCCCAGCAGCTCCCCCCCTCACACCCAGCAGCTCTGAGGAGGATCCCTGCTGCTCAGATCCCCAGACTGGCCCCTGGCTTGGCACCAGGGGCTGCAAAGATCCCCACCAACCTGCCTCCCCGTCCATGGCCCAAGGGCGGCAGACCCAGACGCTCCCTGCCCAAAGAGTCTGCAGCCTCACAGTATCGGCAACCCCCTCCATGGATGAGATGGGAGCCCCTAGGCCCCATGGGCAACCCCGGAATCCCACAGCTCCCCCACGTGGGCGGCCACAGCTGAGACTCTACCTCCTCCTGTGCCTCCTCCGCTGCTGCCACCGCTGCCGCCGCCACCGCCGCCGCCGCCGCCCCCTCGGTTCTGGAAGCCGCCGCGACTGCCCCCTTGCGGGCCGCCCCCGCGGCTGTCGAAGCGCTGGAAGCCGCCCCCTCGGCCCCGGAAGCCGCCGCCCCGGTTGTCAAAGCGTTTCTCTGGCGGAGGCCCAGCTTTCTTGCCCTCCTCGTTGTACTGCTTCACCAGCTTCTCGGCCTCGTCCCGCTGCACCTCAATGTAGATCACCGCGTCCAGGAAGTCGCCGGCCTCTGGCAGCGTGAAGTTGGCTGCATTGGGGGCCCGGCGAGAGGGCGGAGGAGAGAAAACGAGAGACGTGAACTAGCGAGCAGCAGCCTGGAAAGCTGGAACCAAGCTGCCTCGCACGGGAGGCCAAGCCTGCGCCATGGCATCGGACCGCCAGAAAGGAGGCGAGAGAGTGGAAGACAGAAGTGAACAGGAAGGGAAGAGACACCATAAACCAGGCAAATAACGTCCGCATGACGCCATCCCCGGAGTGGGGGACACACACTCCAGTCTCCATGGCACCCAGCGTCCCGCTAGCAAAACCAAAGGCTGCGTCCAAGCACCGGTCACCTCTCCTGCCCCCTTGTGTCCAGCTGAGAAACGGAGCCAGAGAAGAACCAGGCTGGTCACTTTCATCTGGACAGAAGCAGGAGTCTGCTGCGAAACAGCAGCCGACAATGGGACAATGGGACGGGACAGGCCCCCAGCCTGGCTCCGATTACTGGCTCACCACGAAAGGTGCAGAACATTATTTTCCCCCACTGGAAAGAAGTCAGTTTGGGTTTACAGCATCTCTCATTAAGGACAGAGGAGAGGCCCAGGGGAAGAACACATGGAAGACGGCGACAAGTGAGACGAAAGGAGGACAACAGAGCAGAGGGTCAGCATTTGAAACCAAAAATAAATCTCTGTCCAGCTTTTAAACAACAAAACCAGGTGCTGGCCGCGCGTGGTTTGTGGGTCGGTCGGTTTGTTTCTAGACTCCTACCTTTCATTTCTAACACAGCATGATCGGGCACATCCTTCCCCTCCTCATCTGTGCGCTTTATTGTTCGATCTTTTAAATCCTCATCCGTGGGACAAATTACAATAGCCTTGCGTTGGAAACCTTCAAAAGGGCGCATTTTTCGTCTCTGGGCAGATCCATACACATTTGTCTAGCAGTGGTGACAAAGAAGAGGCAAAAACCGTTATTTGGCGTTCTCGTTTTCAACAGAGCATTGTGGCCTGCAGTGGTGAAAGACGACATGGCGCCCCCGCCCCCCTAGATGGTTAAGGACCCTGGACAACTAGCCTTGCGTTGGAAACCTTCAAAAGGGCGCATTTTTCGTCTCTGGGCAGATCCATACACATTTGTCTAGCAGTGGTGACAAAGAAGAGGCAAAAACCGTTATTTGGCGTTCTCGTTTTCAACAGAGCATTGTGGCCTGCAGTGGTGAAAGACGACATGGCGCCCCCGCCCCCCTAGATGGTTAAGGACCCTGGACAACTAACCTACCTTTTAAGGCGCAGAAGCCACATGAGGGGGCGGGGGCGGGGGCAGGAGGAGGGCAGAACACCTATATCTGGGACGTTTTGCAATTCAAATGAGATCTTTCATTGCGTTGCTCCCCCCCGGGGAGAACCATGACTCCGAGGGGCTGCGCTCTGCTGGCGTTAGAAACAAGCCAGGGACCTGGAAGCCGGACCGGCTCAGCGCAAGCCAGAGAACTGAAAGGAACGTTTGTCTGCGACAAATGGGAACCCACTGTTCAGATCTAAGGCCCGAGAGGCATGGTTGTAGCACAGGGTTGTGTCTGGAATCTAGGCGTGACCTGGACATCTACGCCGTAAGTGTGATGTCCATCCGAGTCCCCATCTACTGTGGGCTTAGCCCCTGTACCACAAGGCTGGCTAGAAGCAGAAAGGGATTTCACATTTTTAGGCTCTAAAGATAGAATTTTGGGGAGGAAGAAGCGGTTCCACCGGATGCTGGGGAGCCCTCTGCTGGAGACGGGGCAGTACTTCAGAGCACGATGCTTTATGGGAGATGGGGAGAATGAGCTGGAGAAAATCCCAAACAGGAGGGTTTGAAGAGGTGACCCAGGAGGAAAGCTGAGGGAAGGGGGTGGGGAGGACGGGACATGACCTGTCTTCAAATGGGTCCCAGGCTGTTCTGGGAGTTCCAGGCAAGGTATCCGGGACAACTGGCCCGAGAGTCGGAAAGCACAGGCCCGGAACAGGTGCCCTCGGGAGGCTGTGGAATCCCCAGCAACTGAGGTTTTCAAAGAAAGGGCTGGACAAACGTCTGCCCAGGCTGGTCTTACCTCAGCCCCATTTCTTTTATGCTACGCTGGAGGAGTAAAGATGCGATGCTGGCGACGCCCGCGGCCCGTGCGCTTTGGAACCACGGCTGGGGAGAGAAGGGGTCGCCCTCCTGTACGCCGGGCGTTCAAGAGTGACCGAGAAGGCGAAGGCTCTAAGCAGACACAAGAGAGGACCCCGAGGCTGGTGAAGCCGGCACCCAGCCAGCGTGCCCTGGTGCCAGGGGACTGCGCTCGGGGAGGCCCCCGACGGCCTAGGCTGTCACAGGCATTGTAGCGAGTCCCTTTCCCCACATCTGCTAGTTTAAGGAAGGAGCCTCCCCACAGCTCTCATCACTAGGAGGGCAGCAGGGACAGGACCTCGGAGTCTCGTGCGTTTCACTGGACTCAAGCGATCGAGCAGCAAAGGGACCCAAAGCCCCCGGTTTAACTTGAACCCTACCAGAAAGCGACATTTAGCTGGGCTGCTAAGCCAAAAGCATGTAGATCCCCTGGGGTTATTGAAACGATTCTTTCCGTGATTTTAATCAAGGACGTTTCCTGACAAGGTCTGGCTTTGCCTTGAGCCTTCGTTTTACAATGGGAGTTATTGTTTAATATACCATGGGAGTCAGCGTCTCCCCCTAGGGATTTCAGGGCTACAGGCATAGCACTGTTGGAGCAGAGATGCCAGTCCCCGCTGCAGTAACGCAGGCGTTATCTAGCCGGTGTAACCCAGCTGAGAGGGCGGTGTTGGGCACAGCCCATTGGGCCTCTTTCAGCGGCAGCTGCACGTGTTCAAGGCTGGTGGTGAGCGGGGGAAAAACGCCAGGCAAACGCCCGTCCCTGCTCCTAGCGGGGGCAGAACACAGGCAGCTGGGAGAACCTCTCGCTGCAGCCAAGAGACAAGGGGAGGGGGCAGCGCTCGCAGGCACTGCCAGAGGGCAACAGTCAGCCCCTCCAGCTCCTAGCATTCATTGAAGGCAGAGGGACACCCAATGCTGAGCCCGCACCCTGCTGCCAATTACAGGCAGCCGAGCAATTCACCGCATGCCCCAGGTACCTCCCAGCCTATTTGATGGCTCAGCAGAAGGGGCAAAGCCCCTCCCCTACAATTGAGGGAGGGGCCACAGAACGGAAAGACGGGGAAGTTCAAAAGGGGGCCCTGAGCCCCGGCTCAGCAAGGTGCTCGGGCCGGACACAGCACACAGCTCCATCGCTGCTCTCCCCAGCCCCCTTGCAATGGGCTGAAGCCAACAGCATGGCAAACGGCCCATCCCTCGCTCCACGGGTACACCGCCGAGGCCCCGCCCTGGATAATGCTGAGAACCCAGAGGCCTGGACGTCTCTTTGCAACTGGGGATCTGCCTCCTGCCGGGAAGGGCTGGGTGACACCTCAGAACGGCCGGAGGTCACGCACAAGCCCATCCCACAGACCCGCCTGCCCCTCAGTACGCGCACCGCAGCCAAGAGCCGCAGGGCTCAGCACTCCCCATGAACTGGTCTTTCCCTTCCAGGGCCCAGGGCTTCGTGTCTTGCTCACGCTTCCAGCATGGGGTTTCCCAAGAGGCTGAAGGGCCTATTCCTCCCACAAGGCAGCGGGTCTAGCCATGGAAACTGGGCTTGGGGGATACGGGCCAGACCCTCACTCGGTGTAAATCAGCGTAGCACCATAGGCATCTAGAGAGCTGCAGTGTTCTACCGGCTCCTGTATCGCTCTCTGAGCGCCAGCTCGTCGTCCACGTTCTCAGCATGTCCCTTTGGCGCTCATCAGAAACAGTCTGGCCAGGCAGGTTTTGGCCTCTCTTGCCTGGCCACAGCTGGATCACTTGGTGCCGTGCTCCGACTGGCTCTCCTGAACCCAGTCTGCCAGGGCTGGCACAGCCGGACGTCTCCCCTAACTTCCGCCAGGAATGGGATGATTCAGCAGGCCACGTTATTTTCTCAGGGCCAGTCTGGACCACGGTGCAATGGGGCTCTGTGCTAACGGAGGCAAGGAGCCAACCAGGAGCCGCAGTGAGGAGCCCACGAGACTTTCAGCCACACACGCAAGGAGCTTTGGGACGGAACAGCACAAAAAGTCCTAAAACAGCTGCACATTTCTGTGGGGAGCCCTTCACCAGTTTCAGCTGCTCGTGGCTGTTGCATACAGATGCAACTGACAGCCATCTGACAAGCCTGGCACCTCTGTCAGTAAAGGTTTTGGAAAAAACATTCAACCCTCATCTGCACGATGGGGGCACAGTTGATCTGTAAACACACTTGGGGAGAGGAATTTGCCTTTAGCACAGCACAGCAGCTTACATAAAACCTCGGTGGCATCCACACGGCAACACACAGCAGCTCACAGAAAGACCGTTCAGTGGACAATCTTTTTGGCTTTGTTCTTCAAGAAAGTAGGCGCCACCTCTTTGCACTTCTCCAGTGAAAAGGGACCGTTCTAACTACAACCCAAGAAAGCCCGAAAACAACGCTCGCCCAGCGCAGAGCTGCCTGAAGAGTGAAAGCTCTCAGTCCCCATGAGTTCACACAGGACCTTGCCGTAGCCACAGCGCCACGCTGGGCTGCCTGCCCGCTTCAGACTTTATAGTAGTGGAGTGAAAATATTCTCTCCCCCCCAAGGAAGCAGCCAGAAGCAGCAACACATGCTTCAATGTTTAACACAGCAGCAACCTCCACGCCACGTGGATCTGGAGTCTCATGCTAAAATCAGCAGGCGTGAAATGCAACCCGCTAAAGAGCTGCACACTTCCTCCCCCCACACATCACCCGCTGTTTGCGTGGCTCCCAGCTCTCACTTGTCGGCTCAAGGCAAACGTGGTCAATACTGTACACGGAGAGAGGACTAGAGATCGGCGTGTTAGGCGGACAAAGCAAAGAAAGATCTCATTTGGGCCCCCGCTAGGCCAAACTGGGTATGGGTCTGGTTTCTTCAAGCCTCAGACACCCTTCATTTCAGGGCTATTATTCAGGCTCAGGGCTGTGTACACAGCAGCGCTCAGAGACACGTACAGGTCAGTTACACCTGGGCCCTAGATAGCAGGGACAGACTGACCCAAGTGCCACCATCAAACACGGGGAACACAAATGTGCCTTCCTCAAGGGAAGATGCTAAATGCTGCCCCCATCTGAGACAACCCCATCAGCAGTGGGTTAGCGAACAGCATCTTCCTACAGCCACGCTGGCCCAAAGCAAGTGTCTGCATTACGAGTTCTGAGGGGGCACCCCGAGGGGCGCACAGTGCTACGTGTTGCTGGGTCTGCATTATGAGTTCTGAGGGGGCACCCCGAGGGGCGCACAGTGCTACGTGTTGCTGGGTCTGCATTATGAGTTCTGAGGGGGCACCCCGAGGGGCGCACAGTGCTACGTGTTGCTGGGTCTGCATTATGAGTTCTGAGGGGGCACCCCGAGGGGCGCACAGTGCTACGTGTTGCTGGGTCTGCATTATGAGTTCTGAGGGGGCACCCCGAGGGGCGCACAGTGCTACGTGTTGCTGGGTCTGCATTATGAGTTCTGAGGGGGCACCCCGAGGGGCGCACAGTGCTACGTGTTGCTGGGTCTGCATTATGAGTTCTGAGGGGGCACCCCGAGGGGCGCACAGTGCTACGTGTTGCTGGGTCTGCATTATGAGTTCTGAGGGGGCACCCCGAGGGGCGCACAGTGCTACGTGTTGCTGGGTCTGCATTATGAGTTCTGAGGGGGCACCCCGAGGGGCGCACAGTGCTACGTGTTGCTGGGTCTGCATTATGAGTTCTGAGGGGGCACCCCGAGGGGCGCACAGTGCTACGTGTTGCTGGGTCTGCATTATGAGTTCTGAGGGGGCACCCCGAGGGGCGCACAGTGCTACGTGTTGCTGGGTCTGCATTATGAGTTCTGAGGGGGCACCCCGAGGGGCGCACAGTGCTACGTGTTGCTGGGTCTGCATTATGAGTTCTGAGGGGGCACCCCGAGGGGCGCACAGTGCTACGTGTTGCTGGGTCTGCATTATGAGTTCTGAGGGGGCACCCCGAGGGGCGCACAGTGCTACGTGTTGCTGGGTCTGCATTATGAGTTCTGAGGGGGCACCCCGAGGGGCGCACAGTGCTACGTGTTGCTGGGTCTGCATTATGAGTTCTGAGGGGGCACCCCGAGGGGCGCACAGTGCTACGTGTTGCTGGGTCTGCATTATGAGTTCTGAGGGGGCACCCCGAGGGGCGCACAGTGCTACGTGTTGCTGGGTCTGCATTATGAGTTCTGAGGGGGCACCCCGAGGGGCGCACAGTGCTACGTGTTGCTGGGTCTGCATTATGAGTTCTGAGGGGGCACCCCGAGGGGCGCACAGTGCTACGTGTTGCTGGGTCTGCATTATGAGTTCTGAGGGGGCACCCCGAGGGGCGCACAGTGCTACGTGTTGCTGGGTCTGCATTACGAGTTCTGAGGGGGCACCCCGAGGGGTGCACGGTGCTATGTGTTGCTGGGGAAGCTACCAGCAAGACCATCAAGACCCCGAGGTGCTGGGCTCTTCAGAACAGGGTCTTGTGTGTTTTTTCAAAGCCTCCAAGCTCCTTTCCTATTGAAGGGAATGGGCTCTGAAGAGCCAGCCTTGAGGCTGAAGTCTGCATGTGTACGGAAGAGAAGACTGAGTCCTATCAGCCGGGCTCCTACTCACCTGGGCTTGCCTGTTCTTCCCAGGACACCCACCCCCACCAAAGACAACAAAGTACTCACCGGCTGTCCTTACGCGCCCCCGGCAACGTCCAGAGACCAGCACTCACCTCAGCCTATCTTCCCAGGCCCCAGCCGCATGGCCACTTACCAATTTAGTTCCACCAGCACGTTCGGCATGTTGACCTGCGTGCGGCTAAGCCAAGGGGCGTGTCCTGGGACTCACCGTGGAACGTTTGCAACCTCGTTTCCCTGGGACGCACTGCACGGCGCCCGACACCCGGCAGGCATGTGTGGACGTGCACCGGGTAACCCTGCGTGTGCCGTGCGCCCTCGGAAGGGCTGGCTCGGGCAGGTGCCAGGGAGGTGGCCGGGCCAAGGACTCTGTACCTGATCCAGGATGTAGTTGCGTTTCTTCCGGGCGGCGATCTGGATCAGGCGGTTCAGGCACTGCGTCGCTTGCTGGATGAGCACGTCCCAACGGCCTGCATAGTTGCGCTGGCGGCGAAGTCCCATCACCTTAGGGGAAGATATGGGGACAGGTTAGAGCGCGGGCTCTGAGCTGCTGCGCGCAGTGAGATCTAGTGGTTACAGCACAGACAGGGAGCTTGGATGCCTGGGTCCATCCCCAACTCTGACAGGGGAGCAGAGTCCAGTGGTCACAGCGGGGGAAGGGGAGACGGACGACTTGAGGCCCGGATGCCTGGCTCCACCCCCAGCTGTGTGCATACACTGTTTCCCTCCTTTACACCAGGACAAAACCCATGTCACTGCGCAGCGAGTCCGAGGGCCACTCGTAGATGAAGCTCTCCCAGGACTGCAGGGCTCCCTCCATGTCTACACAGGAACAACGGCTTTCCAGCGGAGCCCCTGCTAGCGGAAGGGGCTCCGTCCCCAGCGTGAGGTGTGTGACGGCGCGTTGGGGGTTCCTCGTCTCCTGCACCCCGAAATGGCACAAACAGACTTCCCCAGCCGGTGGAATAGAGGAAGTTTATTGCCTCTCCAGGATACAGCACAGCACAGATGTAGTCTGGTCCCAGAGCTGGGCTAGGATGCCTCAGGCCCCCTTGAGATGGGGGTGACTGGGCCCCTAAACTCCAGCCCCTTCTCCTAGGCTCTCCTCCATGCTCTCCCACAGTAACTAACTAAACCCCTTGCAGCCCTGCCCCCCCCAGTCAGGGCCGCATTCCACCTTCCTTTGTTCCTCTCCATGGGGGGTGTCTGGCCACTGGTTCAACCAGTTTGGCCTTACCTCTGCCTAGCGATGTTTTCCCTGCTGGGTCTTGCTCCAGACAGCAGGGGTCACCACAGCCCAGCAATTACTCCCACTACGTCACAAGGTGTTTAGCTGCTGGCGAGGGCTCAGCTCTTACCCGCATCTTATCCATGATGGCGTTGGTCCCCAGGATGTTGTAGCCGCGTGCTTTATGGCCCACGTGGTCTTGCCAGCAGCAGGCAGCCCCACCATCATGAGGATCTGAAACACACCCACAGGGCACCAGCTATCACAACAGCACAGTGTCCCCTCCGCAAGGCAAAACCTCCTTGGAGGGAGACAAGACACCATCGTACATGAGGAAACGGAGGCAGAGGCAGGTAACTGACTTTGCTCAATGTCAAGCTGAGCGTTTGGCCCCACAACCCCAAGGCTTCTTCCCAAGCTATTTTCTCCTCCCTCTCCCTGCACCCGTCCAGTCTGGTATCCAGTGCTTGCCCCTCCCCTCTTCAAAGCCAACACACACACAGAAGCGCAGCAGGCGCCACGTCCGAGTCTGGATTAGAACCCCAGAGCACCTGTCTCCCAGCCCATGCTGGAGAACTGCCATTCCAGCAGCTGACCTGAGCTATGGTGCTTTACATCAGGGCAACGGTTACTAAAAACCAGTATTTGCCCCTGCTTCACAGCAGGGCCAGCCCCTGCCAGTGGGGCAAGTAGCCCCGGATGGGAGTGTCCTGTCCCAAGTTCTGAAGCAGCAGACACTGGCCGCAGGGGGCAAGAGGGACCCTGGGCCAGGTCCTCTCTCACGGGAACGGCAGGCAAGAAAGATGCCTTCCCTCCAATAACCTCTGACCCTCCCCTCTGCCCTGACAAGGCACTCAAGGGCTAGGCGGCCGGCTAGCAGACTTGTGTGTGGCTTTCATGCGCATGGTAACAGTTCAGATAGCCCCAGTGGGCTCCAGCCGGGCAGGCAGCCGGTCAGCGCCCCACGGCAGGGAGCGGGGTCTGTGTCTTA